TTCAGGCAGGTCAAGAGACCCCCCTCCCCCCCCCCCCCCCCCCCCCCCCCCACAGAAATTACCCATGAAAGACAATAACAACAATAATCATAATCATGACCGTAATCATAAAAATAAACAAATAATAAAGCTATCATACGAAATACATGCTGAAAGCAGAAGCCATTGTACGATTTTGACTTTATCATAAGCATGTGTTGATGAATCACTATGAAATAGTAATGATACCAGGTGTTCGCAAAAAGGTGAGCGTATCCTGCCCCACCGGTGGCACCCGTCACAAACACATGCAAAGACTCCGCCGTACTATCCTACCAAGTGTCCCGTGTGGTCATCCCAATCCAATACTGTTTCAAGCCAACATATTCAATTTAAACAATTTTACATATTTAAATGAATTTGCGCAAGGAAATAGTTAACTGCACTGAGTAGATGTCGATCATGTCATTTTATGCATATACACATTGTTTTCACTGGTTCGAGTGGAACATGTTTATTAAGTGGGAGAGACAAAAATATGAACGCGCTGATCAAATACATAATCTGGTCACATGCGCTTTGTGATTTGATTTTCGCCCACCATCTATCGAAAGGATGACGAACAAGTCTTCCAGCTGGTCACGGCAAGTGACGATTGTGATTCAAAGCTCATATCTAAAAGGCCGGGCAAAACAAAGTATACACCCATGTATGATGATGATGATGATGATGATGATGATGATGATTTCAGGTACATGCCCGGCAGTGTACCTGGGCGTACCAACAATGGAAGCAGTTAGTTCTTCCGCTTCAACTGGACCATTCCCGATTACTCAGGGAATTAAATCTCCATTGTATTACGATACTTGCCATAATGTATTACCATAGGTTTGTTTTAATTCCGATTCGAACAGCATGACGCTAAATATAGCCGTCCAATCAAATTACTCACACGAACGAAAGAAATTCTGCGCTTTGTTAGAGACAGAAGCCATTGAGGTGGTGACGTCACTCCCGAAACGAAGTTTTGCATTCGTGACCAACTCGTGTTATTCCGGGACAAGCCGAATAGCGACTCGTGCCCCTCTCGTGGTTATTTTTGCGATCGGGTTCCGTCTTAGCGCAAACGGGCATACCTAAAACAATTGTCAACTCGTTGCGTAATGGTTCACACATTTTCCCCAGGTTTCCCACATTATTTCAGATGCAATTTAAAGCACATCGGGACATGCGGAATTATACAGTATGATTGAACACATTTAACTGTGTCTTTGGTATATTTTTAGATGAAAGACATATGTAAATTCAAAAATTATTTCTGAGGGATTCTTTGATGAAGAACTTGAAATCATACGCGCATTCTGATTGGTTTATCGTATTTTCGCACATACATTCATCGATAGGGGGACGAGCCTTCTTGTAGGTTACGGAAAGGGGCGAGTGGTGACGAATGGCAGTTTTGGTGACGTCACTTCCGAAACGAAGCTTTGGTGACGGATGAGTCCAAGGTATTTTTCATAATAGAATTGAGATATAATGAATGTGGGTTTTTTGTATACCTTTTGTATCAATAATGTGTTATTTTATTTATTTTATGTTTTAATTGATCTCTCATTACTCAAATTCGAAGTACATCATTGTCCAATACAAATAAGTAAACTTATGTGTTCTGTACAACCGCTGAGCTTCATATAGAGGGTTACAAAGACATCTGATAAAGAAATTATTACTACACCATTAGTCAAATTTAAATAGACCGCTCTCTCTCTTTCTCTCTCTCTCTCTCTCTCTCTCTCTCTCTCTGCCTCTCTCCCCCTCTCTCTCTTGACTCTTCGTATGACAATGGTTGTGTTATAATTATTACGACACCGTTAGTCAAATTTAAATAACTGTAGATCGCCCTCTCTCTCCCTCTCTCTCCCTCCCCCTCTCGCTCCATCTCTCTCTCACTGTCTCTCCCTCTCTCTCTTTCTCTCCTCCCCTCTGTGTCTCTGTCTGTCGCTGCCCCTCTCTCTCTCTCTCTCTCTCTCTCTCTCTCTCTCTTGACTCTTCGTATGACAAAGGTCGTGTTTCATTGCACAAATGGTCTGATAAACATGTGAAAAACGATAGATCATTGTTTCTTGCACTGACGTCAATTTTAGACCAACAATTCAAACCTTCGTGCAAGAGACATAAAAAAACAACCGATTACATTTTGTACTTTCCAGATTTGTATAGGTCCCTTTCTACAGGATTGACAACCGAACGCTTTTTACACATTTTACTTTGAATATTTTATCATCCCCAAAAACCTGGGACAATGTTTACGAATAAACAGAACTAACAATTGCTCTGTTAGCTGCAGTCGCCAAGAGAATTACACGCCCCATTATCAAATACTCTCAGTGAAAACTGCAATTCGAAAAAAAATAGTTTAAAACCAGATAACTGAATTATTTATATAGGCCATATTGGTGGCGCTACATATTGGGGATCTGTCAGATATTTCTGTGTGAATCCTTTAGAAACGCGGGGCCAGTCATCTGCAGTTCGAGAGATTCGCGCAACAATTTGGAACAAGGATCGATGAATTTTTAATGTTTCGGCTAAGTGGATACTGCCTGGCTGTTCAGCGCCATCTACCGGCATGCCGAGAGGTTGGCGCGGAGTAGACTAATGAATATTCATGACTTTCAACTTGCGGGCGTATCGTTGAACTGAATTGATTTCGGTGATGTTCTGAAATATCCGATTCTGTTTTATGTCAGTTTCTAGTGATTAAATATTGTTGGGGTTTTTCTTTCTTATTATCACTTGCAATATGAAAAATGAACATGGGAATATGTAATTGTATTTTAATAATACGATACGCTCCCGTCAGTCAGGGAATCGTCCAACAATTATAACATGAAACTTGCCAATAAATGATATATTACTCAATAATGAAAGAAGGATATCAGACTAGGCAAAGCATGATCAACTGCCATTATTTAACGAGGCAATAAATACTTGACTAGATATGTCGACGTTCAGTAGAAGTCATATTTTATTGTAAAACATTGTAATTCAAACATATTAAGCACAATGTTAATGAGAGTATGGCAAAAAACAGGTTTTATGCGGTAAAGTTGATTTATGGCATAGTTAATTTTCAAATGTATCGGTTGAAACCGGAAGGATCTGCAACGATAATAATATATTATGACAAACAACATTCCATAATCATAAATCATCCATAATAAAGAAATTTCTTCTAAAAGCGGAGTCCAACGCACGATTCCGACAATATTCATAAGCATGTGTTTATGAATCATTATCGAATTGTGACGATACCAGAGAGTGATAATGACTCATATGCGCGTGTGCGTGCGTGCGTGCTTGCGTGCGTGTGTGTGTGTTTGCGTGCGTGTGTGTGTGCAAGCGTGAGGTGGGGGCGTGTCCTGATCATTTTGAAAAGACAAATCTAAACAGATATTACAACAAAGAATAATATTTGCTCGCTGGAAAAGTTGAGGGTTCTGATAACAAAATATGATTCAGATGAAACAAATTGTAAATCTTGAAACAATGCATATGCCCATAAATATTCCGTCTCTAAAGAAACATGAATGTGGTATTATAGGGTCGGACCCTGTGTCTGTAGTGAAGCATTGGAATTTCGATGGTCGTGACGATTTGATCACAAAAAGGTTTCAAGTGGATGCTGAAGACAATACTTGTTCATCATCATCGTCGTCATGGTCGTCATCGTCATCATCATCATCATCTTGTATTTCAGCATAGATGAAAGCCATCGACCCAGCCTGAGTTACAGGACAGTCAACATATAGGCTTTGTATTCTCATTCACACCATTGTTACTTTATTGCATTGCACGAAAAACAAACTTTGCTAAATGCTAAACAGTTTCAATACCATTTGGCCTGTGGGTCAGTTGGCCTGTAAAAATGTAGACGTAGATTTCATATGGTTGCTCGGTAATTAATTCCAGCAATCAGGCTGTATCACAGAACATATGAATACTTTCACTATATATACACAATAATAATATTA